GATGAGAAATCACAAAGAACGTCCCTAGGCTCTCCATGTACTCCCATCTTTCCTTTCAACCCCTTTATCTCAGAAAAACTCAGAAGTTCTTCCATAACATTGGCAACTGGCAGAAACAATCCATGACTATCTGGGAACTCTTCAGACACAAGCTTCTCATAGTAAGGTGTTTGTGAGCAAATTGTTTACTGGTTCTGGACTTCTAAAAAGAACTGTAAAGTCTGGAAAACTCGGGGGTATAGCAGTATGTGATGAACCCCGATACCCTGGCTGATCCAGCCTTTCTGGTTTAGCCACAGTGATCTTTGTGTCTTTACCACATGGAGCCTTTGTCACTGAGCATTTCCTTTCCTTGTTTGCTGTTGCCTTTTAAAAAATTAATATTAGCACTCAAACAAATAAGAGAAATGTACCAGAATAGCAGTGGAAACACAGGCTAAAGACTTGAACGAGCCATCCTCAAAGACAAAAACTGCTTATCAGTATGTCAAAAAGTAATCAGTCTTATTGGTAGCCAAAGAAATAAAAGTTTGAAAAATATCACTTTCACCTATCAAGTTCGCAAAGATTTTTTAAAGAATGGCATTATGTTGGCAAGAACTAGCTGTTCTAAGCATCGTGCCCAAAGGAGAAAGTGCAATAGAGATATGCATGCAAAATTTAGGCATGAGGATCAAAACCCAAAGATAAAAGAATGGCTAAATAAAGACATCCATAAGGTGAACTATTTTGCAGTCACTAAATCGCATTAAAAATATCAATTTTAATTTCTTGAGAAACAGCAACAAAGGAATGTTAATTTTTTTTAGAAGTATGAAGTTCTAAAACAGCCATCCCCACCTTTTTGGCACCAGGGCCCGGTTTCGTGGAAGACAATTTGTCCACGGATGGCAGTGGGGGTGGGGGGATAGTTTTGGAAGGAAACTGTTCCACATCAGCTCATCAGGCATTAGATTCTCATGAGGAGTGCACAACCTCAATTCCTTTCATGCGCAGTTCACAATAGGGGTCACGCTCCTATGAGAATCTAATGCCAGCTGCTGATCAGACATGAAGAGGAGCTCAGGAGATAATGCTCACTTACCAGCCACTCACCTCCTGCTGTGCTGCTGGGTTCCTAACAGGTCATGGGCTGGCACCCATCCACAGCCCAGGGGTTGGGGACCCCTGTTCTACAACATGATTCAAATTCTTAAAACAATGGTACATTTATATAAAGGAAATAAACTTGTGGTAAACTATGCTGTGTTTTCAATAGCAGTTCTTTAGATATTGAGATAATTATAAGCACTCAGTACATGCCAAGCACTATGTTCAGTACTTTATATACACTGCATTGTATTTATGCTTGCATCCTGCCTTCATCCCTCTTGTATGTCTGAGGAAACTGAGGCTCAGGACAGATTAGTAACTTGCCTACAGCAATAAAGTTGTTAAAGGGAGGAGCCACAATACAAGCTAAGGCCAGCTTGACCCAAAATTTGTGCTCTTCACATCCATATCTGCCAATAGGTAATTTTGTATTGTAGGGGATCTAAAATAAGCAAATATTGCTTTTATAATTGGGAAACAAATCAGTAACATAAACATTGTATTAAACACATATATATTCTCAAAATGACAATTCTGAAAATTGCTTCCTCCAAAGATGTAGAACCATAAACATGAGTTTCAGGAGCCCAACTAGTGTACTTGGTAAACAGTGTTAAGTGCTGATTTTAAAAATGCAGTTCTTACCTTGGAAGACTTTTGTGAGCCATGTCGACCCTGCAAAATGTATTAATTTAGGAAAAATTATTTTACACCTGCTTTTGCCAGATACCGTGCCAGGTGCTGGCACAATAGCAGAAATAATAGTCTAAATGAATTTCTTTGGAAGTTAGGAAAGTGTCTTTTTTTCAGAGATAACTGTGGGTAGGGAGAGAAGGAAGGTGGGAGTATCCATCAATCTCATATTGAAAGTCTTGGCTACCTATTGGCTACCTATAGCAAAGGATTATTTTAAGGTTTTCCATAAAAATGTATTTGTCTGAGGACCCCTGACACTCCCTTGGAAATGTCATATAATTTTAAGCCTCCCCAATGCATTCACACTTATACTCTAACTATAGCAATCAGGTGAAATAAAATGCTTTTAACATCACATAGCATTATTCTCATCCTCTGGATATATAGTGATCCTTCAATTTGCCCTCCTTGGTAGTGCAGTATTTTCAGTGTTAAGTAAGCAGAGTTGGAGAGTATCAGAAACAGGATTCTCAGCAGAAATGTGGATGAATGGACTCCCAGCCCTCTTAGCGTCATACGTCATCATCCATGCCTACCTTCCTTTTCCAGGAAAGCCCATGATTTTAGCACATGGACTTCTGACACAAAGGCCATTATCTCTACAGCTTTAGATTAACAGGTAAATTCTTTCTTAGACTTTACTCTGTAAGTCAACCAGAATTTTGATCAATTCAGATTCAAAATTTTCACTTTTACTTGGCTGTAACAAGAACAACAAATGGGTAAGAATATATATTTCTCCTTTTCTTCAAAGACCGTGGCCCTCATGGTAGGAAATGTTAAGGAAGGTTTATTATTTTTATTATTATTTCTTATTATGCAAAAGTATAAAATATTTATAGCAATGATAATGAACTTAGACCTTGAACATGATGAATTCAAATAAATGAGTACCTCAGAGGAAGAGCCCTACAACCAAAGAGATACCTATTTGAGAAGGAAATGCCGTTTGCCTTAGAATGAACAGGATAGTAAATTAACTGTCCTTGTTAATTCCCTTCCATGGGGACTAAACACCAAGGAGTCGTTGAGGAACTATAGCAAAAAGGGTCGAAATCAATCAGCATAACAGACACCTTATGTTGTTTGTTCTGTAAATTAGACGGTTTTCTTAATCTTTCAGACTAGTTTCAGGAGGAAGGATGAGTGCCCGCGGCTCTGAGATCAGATGTCATTGCCATGGAGATTTATCTTATTTAATGAATAATACCACCCATCTTTTTGTAATAACAAACGCTTATTTTCTCGTTGCCTAAAACTAAATAAACTACTCTCCTATGGTCGCTCTAAGTGTAGGTTTCAAAAGATTATAAAAACTAGTGAATAAATCCAGTCTCCCCTGAGTGTGCTAATTACTGTTTTAGTTCATGTTAACAGAAGAAATGGCTTAACAATAGTAACAACTGGAGGGGGTCAAACTTCTCATTCATTTGTATTAAACCACCCTTTCATTAGATAGGAGTGCTATAATGTATATTTCTTGGATAATACTCTTACTACAAAAGACTTTGGAAACAAGTACAATGTACCTTAAATGTTTCACGGTTTGCAAATTATTTCGTACACGCAGCGTCTAGCAGCTATGAATTGAGGAGGAAAGCATTATTTTCCACTACACGAATAAAAATCAATTCTCACGTCTTCAATTAAATGATTTTCAGAAGGGTTCATCACCCGGAAAACCAGTATGTATGAACGCCGGAAATGCAGATGGCACCCAGCCTCAGAACTGCTTATTCTAGATGGGAACCAAACTAAGATTTCTCTTTATTATTTGTGAAAGCGATCCCACGCTGGAGAGAATCTCGCCGTAAAACAATTCAAGAAAAGAAAGAACTCTGAAGCGTGTGAAGTTCTCCAGACAAATCTTACAGTGACTCTTTTAAGGAAAGAAGCATTTATGGAAAGGTCAGGGGAGGTCAGGAGAGTTATGCCAGGAGCCAGGGTCAATTGTCCCTGGGCAACAGGGGTTCTCCCAGGTATGCCGGCGTCCCGGGCTCCGGGCGAGGCGCAGGGCTCAGGGCGCAGGGCGGGTCCCGTACGCCGCGCGGGCGCGCGGGCATCTTTGTGGCCAGGCGACCCCGGCTCGCTCTCCCGGAGCCCAGGGACTCCCGAGGCTGGCGCGGGCTGCCCCGGACGCGGTGCCAGCAGCCTCCGGCTCGCGAGGAGCAGCTCCCACCCGCAGCTTCCGAGGACAGCTCTGTCCCTCCGCCATCCTCTAGTCCTCTGGCATTTTCCAGGGAGACAGAGAGGCAGGGAGAAGAGGAGAAAGCGGCCGTGTCTGCACCCAGCCTCTGCCGCAGCACTCGAAGAGGGACAGCAGGGAGGCCGGCGGGGAGGCAGAGATTAAACTGATTCCATCGATCACGGTAAGACCATCATCACCTACAGCAAAGGAGGCTCCGATGCGCCCATCCGGGCAGCGGCTCGCGGTTGGTGGGCGTTCCTCGTCCTCGCCCCCTCGGTGGCTGTGGAATCCACCCCGCGCTGCACACGCCAGGACTCCCTTTCCTTTGACTAAGGGGAGGGGAAGGAACAAAAGAGACCCCCCACCCCCTACACACTCACTCACACACACACACACACACACACACACACCCCTCCGGTATTTTACTGCTGCTCAAAGGATTCATTTTCGCAACCTCTTCTGCGAACACCTTCCCCACCTGAGCAGTGCATATTCCCAAAGGTAAAGAGACATAAAGGAGGAAACACAGCACCCGAGGTGATCGGTCGATTGGACACTGTTGATTGCACATTCTCCTCGCTCCCAGCCAACTGCACAAAACCCGCAGCACCTCGCGCCCCCGCGGGGTCTCCCGCGCCCCCGGCCCGGCCCTCCTGGCCGCCCCCAGCAGGCGCCCGGCTCTCCGCGGGAACTCTGGGACCTGGCCGAGCGTTTCCCGGCGGGCAGGACACTCGCTCGGTTCCCCGCAGCAGCTGAGGGCAGCGAGCGGACCGCGTCTAGGCAGCGACGCGGGATTCAACTTCCCGGACCCGCGGCGCAGCCCCCGCTCCCGCCCGGGGCGCAGCGGCCACAGCCTAGACCCCAGCGCCGCGCAACCGCCCCCGCCGGGGCATGGGCGGTCGCGCTCTCCGCCCCCTCCTTCCTTCACCTCCCCCCTACCTTGAAAAAAATCCATCCATTGGTGCAAAGCAGACATTTTGATGTCATTTACTTAGCACCGCTCGGTTTGGAGGCAGCGTCTTACCCGGTCGCCTGGAGATGTGGGCAGCGCGCCGATGGGTCCAGGGGAGCGGGGCTGGGTGGCTCGGTCCTCTAGCAGAGCCGGTTTGCTGCCATCCGCCCAACTTCAGCACCCAGCGGGCGAGGAGAGAGGGAGAGCGGCGAGGATGCAGGGGAGGGGGAGGGGGAGGAGGGAGAGGTGGGCGGGGAGGGAGCGGGAGCCGCTCGGCAGCGCGCATGCGCCTCGCGGCCGGCGCAGCCCCTCGCCCGCCGCGGCCGGAGGGGCGGCTTCCCAACCCCGGCGCGCGGCCGCGAGAGTCCCGTCCCCGCCCCCTCCCCGGGCGGCCCCCGGTCCCGCCCGACCTCGCGCGCTCGCCTGGGCGAGGCGCCCACCGTGCGGAGGGGCTGGGCCGGGACTCTCGGCTTCGGCGACGCCCGTCCGGAGCTTCGCGGGAGCCCCGGAGTCCCGAGAGCTTCCCTGAGTGACAGCGGCTCTCCGCCGGGTCCCTGCAACTCCACTCTTCCTCAGCCCGCGCGCTGCTGTCCTGGGCTGCGCGAGAGCCTTGCACCCAGGAGCCGGCCTGCCAGGCACAGCAGCCTGCCTGCTGCGGGTCCCGGAGGAGGTATTGCCTGCGTGGGTATTGCCTGTCAAGAAAGTGTGAAGTTAAGCAAGTTTTGCTGCCTGAAGGACTTTATAAAGCGTCCTGTACTTTACTGACTTTCTCACCCAGAAAGAGGACCTTTTCTCCTAAGAATCAGTGCAGGTGCTCTCTGGCCTAGCCATGCCAACTGCCTCAGGCCCCCAGAACACTCGCTGGAGCAGAGTTTTGAGTGAGAAAAGCCTATGACAAGGCAAGAGTGGTGAATTATTAACGGAGGTGCTTATGCTTGGGGCCTAGAGCATCCTTAGGGAACAGCTTGGTAGTTACCAGGTCTGATAATCGTTCTGTGCCCAAGTGGAGCCCAGCTTGGTAGGGAAGGAGCTTGAGATACTTTATGCAGTCCGAGCGCTAGATTGTACCTCCGATGATCAGAGTCAAGTATTTGTGCGGAGGTAGTGGAGAAGCAGTGTCTTGCTCTTCAGATACCACACCTGTGCGAAAAGGAGGGAGTTCCTGCAGGAGTGAATGGGCTTTTTTTTCTTACACCTAATTAAAGCAGATTACTTGTAAATCTGCGTGAGTTCCCCTTGCTCGTGTGTTCATGTAAGCAAGCGTTGTGTTATTTCAGCCTACTGAACTCTCCTGTGCCTCCACCCTAATACACTCAGAGATACTTGAGTTAAATGTGTCTCAGGGCCTCCTCCAGGGCCTCCCTTGGCTTTGAGTACTAGTGCTCTTAAAAGTGCCTTCAGTTTTGTTGGATTTCACAAAAGTGCTTGTCTTTGTCTTCCAGGCTGCTATTACAAAATACCGTAGACTGGATGGCTTATAAGCAACAGAAACTGATTTCTCACACTTCTGGAGACTGGGAAGTCCAAGATCAAGATGTAGGCAGATTCCTTATTTGATGAGGGCCCAATTCCGAGCTCATGGACTGCTGACTCCTTGCTGTGTCTTCACGTGGTGGAAGTGAGCAAGGGAGCTTTCTGGGGTCTCTTCTATAAGGACACTAGTCTCATTCATGAGGGCTCCACCCTCATGACCTAACCACCTTCCAAAGGTTCCACCTCTTTATATCATCACCTTAGGGGTTAGAATGCGAACATATGAATTTTGGAGACTCAAACACATCTAGTCCACTGCAGTATTGATCCATGGTAGATAAAGATAAAAGTTCTTCACCAAAAATGGTTTGAGCAACATTGAATCCTATATAACTTTCAGATTTATATCTTTAGTCCTGGCCTCACAACAGAACTCTTTTATGTCCTCCACTACCTTTACATCTCCACTTGAAGAATAATTGTCATAGCTGGTATTTATTGAAGAATCACTACATGTCAGGTACAGATCTAAATTCTCCTCATATTTCGTATTCGTTGTTCACAACAACCCTACAAGGTAGATACTATTATTATCATGGTTAACAGGCATCTCAGAAGCAGAACTCTGGATATCTACCCCCTCCAAACCTGTTCCTCCTCAAATTGTTCTACTCCGTTGTTCATTCCAGAAATTTAGAAGTCATCCTTGTTTTGTTGCTTTCATTCATCCCCACACTCAATTAATTAGTCATGTTTTCTTCACTTCCAAAATATATCTCCAAGTCATCAACTTTGATCATTCTCTATTGCCACAACCTTAGTCCAAGCTATTGTCATCTCTCACCTGGGCAACCACAAAAGTCTCCCATTCTGTCTGCTCATTGCTATCCTCCACAACCCGAAACAACACCCTCCTAAGAGCTGAACGATCTTTTAAAAACATTCAGGTTGTGTCATGCCCTTTCTTAACATGCTCAAATGAGTTTTTTTTTTTTTTTCGTTGCACTTCAAATACAATTTGTAATTCTTACCACAGCCTAGAAGAGCTGAACGATCTTTTAAAAACATTCAGGTTGTGTTATGCCCTTTCTTAACATGCTCAAATGAGTTTTTTTTTTTTTTCGTTGCACTTCAAATACAATTTTTAATTCTTACCACAGCCTAGAAGGTTCTATATACTATTGTCCCTAACTAGTTATCTTATACCATGCTTCTGTAGATCATAGCTACTGTGGTTTAGCCATGTAGACCTGCTTATTTAGGTTTCTTGAAGAAATATAACTTGTAGTATTTGCTGTTCTTTCTGCTGGGAATCCTCTGCACCAGATCTTTGCATAGTAGACTCCTTAATATCACATAGATGTCTGCGGAAATAACACTTTTCAGAAGGCTTCATCTGACCACCCAATCTAATCTGCCCCAGTGAGTTCTTTTCTGTTGGATCCCCTTATTTCATTGTCTTTAAAACACTTCACTATCTGAATCAGCTTGGATTCATTTGTTTGCTTATTCATTCTCCTCAGCCCCTGCTAAAATAAAGGATCTCAAGAGCTTTGCTTTCACTTTTCAGTGTTTTATCTTTGGTGCCCAGAACAAGATTTGACACATAGTATATACTCAGTAAATAGTTAGCGAATGAAGGACAGATTGAATAAATAACAAACTTAGAAAAAGTGTTCTTTGTTTTTTGCTGATGCTTCTTCTTGGATCCTAATTGCCGCCTTTGAGGATCTGTTGCTTTTCAGAAGTAAACAGATAGGCCACATTGTTTCCTCTGCCCAACCTATCCCAGATGGTGCATGATGTTTCCTCTGCCTAGCTCATCACACATTGCTCCATGCAGGAGTGCCCATTTAAACTAGATGTCAGGGTAAGGTTCCTACAACCCACTTTTAAAACAAGCATGCTCAATAAAAAAATGGACCTTTACTTCCATAAATTCTTATAATGACTGTTTGGGCAATTCTTGTATGACAGCTTGGCTATTCTGCCATTCATTTAATTGCTTAAGCCAAACGTAACCCCTTGGTGACTTTCACGGTTGCAGTTTTTTGTGTAATCCCTTATGCATGAGCCAGAATCTGTAATAATAGTATTGTAGGAATGAAAATGTTGCCTACCGTCTGAGAGTTGAGTAGATGGGTGGAAACAACCACAGCTTGTTGTTCAGTAGCTGCGACTTTAATGAAAGTCACCTTGTGGAGTCTGATCGCTTGCAGTCCCTGTGTATATCTTGGTGGTATGGTTTGAGTTTGTCCACTCCAAAACTTGTATTGAAATTTGATCCCCAACTTGGTGGTGCTGGGAGGTGGGGCCTAGCAGGAGGTGTTTGGGTCATGAGGGTGGATCCCTCTTGAATGCCTTAGTGCAGTTCTCCAGGTAGTGAGTCAGTTCTCACTCGGAGGAGACTGGAAAAGTTCTCATGGGAAAAACAAATTCCCTAGAGGGGAGAGTCTTACAAAACCAGGATGCTCCTCGGGCCTTGTCTCTTTGCATGTGTCCACTTCCCCTTTGACCTTCTTTGCCCTGTTGTGATGCAGCATAAAAGCCCTCAGTGGAAGGCAGGGCCATGCCCTTGAATTTCGCAGTCTGTGGAACTGTGAGCTAAATAAACCCGATCACTGTCTCAAGTATTCCATTATAGCAACACAAAACAGACCTGGACACTTGGTCTAGGGAGTTGTCTGCAACCCCACTGACATCAAGTAATGACCAGATCAATAATTCAATTCAGTAAACTTCATTAATATCTACTATATGCCTGGCATGATGTCTTCAAATTTTTTGCAAAAGTAAATGTTTATACAATTATCCTATAGGACTCAGAAATAGATTTCAGTTCATTTTGGCAATGGGGATGCCTTCTCTTTATGCAGAATTTCAGGGCTCACTAAGCCAGTCGTCATTAAACAGCTATGTGGTAATTATGAAAAGGATCATTTGATCATGAGCATTTCCCTACCATAATGAATATTTTTTTTTCAAGTAGAGAAATGCTGGACAGAGCAGCAGTTTAAACAGGTATAATGGCTTTATAGTAAGGCACAAAGGAGATTTGCAGACAAGATATTTGCAGACAGAAAATATTGCAAAAGCACAGACTATCAACATCAAAATATTTAGTGTACATTTATCCATAATTAGGAATATTTGTCATCATTAGGAGAGCTGGAAATTACCTCAGTGAGTTTGGTACCCTACGAAAGTATTTACAGGAAGGAATTATGTAGCATTTTAAAATTTTATTCTCTTTTCCCACATGCTTATTTAAAAGAAGCTGTTTTCCTTTGAAAAGCAGAGGGAAAGGAAATTAATTGTTTGGCTGAATCTAGAAAACCCTGACTGCTCCAGCCAGGCAGACTTCTCCGGAGTGGAATGTGGAAGGATAATTAGAACATGACTGCTTCAGCAGACTTTTTCTATACTTTTAGTAAATAGGGCTAAACATATTTCTCCAACTGATTTTAATCAAACCATTGAGACAGGTTCATCCCAGGGAACTTATTTAGATGGAAAATACTTGCATTTCTTCATCAGTATTCAAGGGAGAGAAGAGAAAAGAGAAAAACGGAAAGACAGCCTGCTCCCCAAAAACTGTAAAATGAAATACAGAATTTCATATTTTCTATGTACTATACTTAATTATGGTTTTCTATTTTTTCTTTTACTTTTAGTTCTGGGATACATGTGCAGATTACAGGTTTGTTACATAGGTATTCATGTGCAATTGCAACTTGCTATGCCTTTTGAGACATAGCTTCACTCT